AAAGGAATGCTAGTTCACTGTTCAAAGTTGTCCAGTGAAACTGTTAAACATGGCACTCAGATATTCTAGAGGAAGGACCATGCCTCATCACGTTTACTCATATCATACAAGAACAATGCATAATTTGGTACTTTAGAGATTCATCTTTAAGATGTTTGTTATCTTACAGAATCTTTGAGGACCTGGGAAGGGAAAACATAGGGCCCAATACCTTGGTGAAATATCTTGAAGTTCTTACAATTGATACAGTGTTATTATACTTCAACATCCACTGAAAATGGAAACAAGATAGTAAAATAAGAATTTTATAGATTAAAGGTGGGATTTATATTATCTAGGGATTTTGAAAATACATATTTTAAAGATGTATTAAGTTGCTGCATGTTAATTGTTGCTGAGTAAATAATCCTGCTTGTTTGTGGTTTTGTTTGTGTTATTTTTTGAAGTAAAAATTAAATAACAATGAGAATTAGAACTACTTAATAAAATGCTCAAAATATCCTCAAGACATTAACATTTTACATGTTTCTGTGTGTGCATATTTTATAATACAGTATATCCTTATTGTTTAGTGTTGTATTTGTCCCTAATTTTCTTGAGAAAATTGGGATAATCTTTTCTTCTTGCTTTTTCCAATGATGACTATTTTTAAGAAAATACTTCTATAGATATGCGAACAGCTTACTTGTCTTTTTCATGATAAAATATGGTTATGAGAAATAGGAATATGTTTTTCTACATTAAAGGTGTCTTGTTTTCTCTTATTAATATAGGTATTATTACCATTTTCATATGTTAGGTTGTTATTAACTTGGCTGACTCTAGATACTGCTCTTATTTTAGAATAACCTCATTTACTTTTAACTAAAATACAGAGTTTAACTGAAGAGAAATGTTCTGCTGAAAAAAAATACTATCATGCCCAAGGAAAATTGATCTATCTTCCACCAAAATAATAAAATATTCCTATTTGTTCATAATATTTATTTACTCATTTACTATGGTTTTTATGGCAAGTAATTTGTGTCTTGCAACTTCAGAAGCAGTGCTAAAATAATATAAATCAGAGTTTTTAAAAGTTAACTTATACCTTGCACAATATGGTGAACATGAAAATTATAGAGTTGAATCACAGTTACTTAAAATTACTTGATATGTTATGCAAATATATAACATTTTATATTAATTATCCTAAAATATCTCATTTTAAAATCCCATTGTGTATTTATTTCTTCAGTTATGCAGCTGATGCTTAGAAAAATCTCTACACATTCAAGGTATTTTACCAAAAAGTACAACGCTTCTGCTGTAAATCAGCTTACTCTATTACATAATACAGACATAGGGAAGTCATTTCTTGCCCCAAACCTGAGTTTATACTTCCTGTCCTTCGAAATTTTTTTAAGATTTCAGCTTTATAAAGAAATAGTTTGTTTATATAAAAAAGAATAGTTCCTAAATAATTTTACTTTTTACAAGTTATTTATTAAAAAAACGATTACTTATGGTATCTTTACAATGTAAATGTGAACTAAGTCTGTCTGATTGAACATAGACTTTAAGGTGTAAGTTACATTCTAGGGCAATTTTCATTGATAATTGAATATTACTTTGAAGAGTTTGAAGCATGAGCTGGCCGTTTTTCCTTTTTCTCAGTATTCTTAGTGTTCTTCTATCATATTTAGAGAGCTAGTCTACATTAAGCTTATGTTGATCTGGAGTTGTATCATTGTGATGGTTGAATATAAGTGAAAGAAAAAAAAATGCTCACTGGCCCATTTTTTCCTGTGATGCTGCATAACTCCCTGGTACTCTGAGGTGAGGAGACGTAAGTAGCTAAGGTGATGAAATAAGTAAGAAGCTATGCCAGATACTTGAAAATTTAAAACATCATTTAAGAACAACCATATGAGAGGAAAAAAGACTGAAAATGGACAACATTACTAGATGAGTATAAAGTTATATTTCCTTTAGAAATTCTCATCAAAATCTACAAGTGCTATTAACTACTTTTAACGCTGAGTTGTTCCAATACTGACTTTTGTTCCAATACTGTCAGTCACTGTGAATTAGCTCCGTGGAACATCCCCTGCAGCGTTTGCAGTTGGAAATAGCAGCCCCTTAATAAGCAGGTCTGTGTCCTTCCAGGTAAATGACACATGCAAACTCTGAACTACGTTAAACATATATATCAGAAAATATAAACTATTTTTTAAAAAAATAGAATTATGACATGTATTAAATCACTTTTAAAAGAAAGCCAAATTATTTACCTAAGAAAGGTTTAAATTTACAGGTGTGTGTTTCCTAACCTTTTATATGGCTTGCTTTTTGGCAATCTTTAAAACCTCTGTCCACCCTGTTTAGAGTATTATTTTTAAATGTGTAAAGTAAAATAAAGTAAATAGTAGGTTTACAAAGGAAATGACTTATATTGAAATACAGATGCCAAGTTCAGAAACCCAGGTAGGTAGGCACTAAAATATTTCATGCCTTGCAAATGGTTATCTATTATTTCCCATGTTTCAGTTGCTATAATTCAAAATTATTTATAAGTTCTTTTCTTAAAATTAAAACTCACCAAGAATTTAGGTGGAAATTGTCAAGTTTTAATCTCAATTTCTTGAAGAACCTGCTATGAGACTTATGAGACTTAGGCATTGCTGCTTTAACTTTTCTCAGCAGTAATCTTAGTTCTCACCTAGTAACACCTATTCTTACCCAGTTATGGGAGCAGGAGCCTGACTTGACCTTCTACTGTGTTATCAAAGTTTAAAATATGTTATAGCTCTCCCTTCCCTTAACTGTGGTGGAACAGCTCAGTAAATTTCTACCTTCTACTGTGATTCTTCTCATGTTTCACTTATTAATCAATTTTCATTTCACACTATGGAAATTATATAATTCATTTTATTTATGAATATGGAGATAAAAATATAAGTAAAATTTAAAACATGAGTATAGTCTTCAAAGAACTTTTTCACAAAAGAGATTTTTTTTAAAAGATATTTCCTAAAGGGTGATCTGTTTACTTAAAGAATGATTGTTCCTTTTAAGGACATGGGACATAACAACACATATGAAGTAATTCTCTGGATTTCACACACGCTTTTATATTTCAATTACTGAAAATACAGTGTGAAAGAATCAAAAGTGTATATCCTCGTATTTCACTTTCCACTTGGAAAAATTACTTGATGGAATCAGAATAAATCAAATTTTGCATAAATAAGTGAAATATTAGCATAATTTTCTGTTGGGATAGTCATAGATATTCTACAAAGTTTTGTTACTACATGTAATATAGTAAGTTTATTATTAGAGATAATTGGAAATATGAAAATAATGTAAAGATTGATACTTTGCAAAAATAGATTTTAAGGAATCTAAAATACATATATATATATATATATATCCCTTTAATTCTGGTTATCTCTTGTGTTGAAGATATACCAAGATGTGTACACTGAAAACATTTAACAAACATTTTTGCATATGTATTTCTAAAGAGAAGTGTTCTCTCTGAGATAGTTTTTCAAGAACAAAAATAGAATTATGATTTCCTACACTCTCAGGTTGCCTTTTCATTTCTCTCTTTGATAAGTAATTACATATTGTGTATGTATTTACATTTAATCTCAGCTTTTTGATATATTCTGGATATACTTTTATAAAAATACTAAGCTTACCTTAAGAAATCAATCATTATGGTACATGGATTTTAAAATAGTTTTTAAATTATTTGACTTGTATGTTACCCTGTGAATTTAAAGCAGGACAAACGCAAGATACGTTGTAGAGTAAATCCAGTATTCAGTTCCCAAAGTCATCTAGTCTAATGTCTACTGGTCCAAAATTGTATACCATATACTTAATTACATTTGGGAAATCTTTTCTTATTTTTCATTAATTGCTTGCGTTTTTTGTTATCAAAAATAAGATTGAGAGAAATTACAGGTAAAGTGGAAATCCTTAATACATTAGTCCTGAGGGAAACTAATGCTTTCTTTACTATCTATAATATATAAGCATTTCCATTACAGTGGTTACAACTACGTGGGTAGGTAATAGTTTCATTTGAAGTATACTTTGGAATATGTATCACTTTGGAGTTCCAGAGCCAAAGCTAATGTTTCTTGGGTTGTCCCATAGATAGTGGGGCTGACATTAGAAAACATTTACTGATTACATGTTAGCTATAAAAGTATTAATGCTAGACTCCAGGGATACAAAAATCAATAGTGATAGGTGACTTAAATTTAAGTATACTTCTTTTAACAAGGATTAGGTTTTGCTATTGGATTTATTTGTAATCAAAGAAATCACATTGTTTCAAAACGATTATTATTTCAATCAATTAATCCCCATTTTGAATTGTGTTAGTTGGTATCACGAAACTGCACTGAACTAGATGGCATAGATTGGCTGATTAACCAGTTTTCTATGCAGTGATTTTTCTTATGCACCGTATTTAAATATGGCTACAGACAGCAAAGTTGCACTATTTTCTCATAACATTTTGATTCTAACGTTTGAATGTTAGGTATATCAATATACTATGATTGTGTCTTTTTGTATCTTAGTTGATAGACTAATAAATAGCCTTAGGGGCTTGAGAACTGTACTTTATGGTTTTCTTTACTCTTTTGAAAATGGTAGGAAAAGTCATTGAATTCTTTTAAAATAGAATTCTTCACATATTTCACATGTTCTATTTAGGGAATTCATTTTGGAAAGCAGGCAGTCTTGTTTTGATTATAACTGAGCAACTCCTATTGTCTTCAGTGGGAATTGCTATTAAAGACAAATGTTGGTTCCTTACAAATTCTTACGAAGTTTAGTGAGAATTTGCTCAGAATGTGTTGGGGAAGAGAACATTTTTTTTCCATACTCAGTAATTTTTAAACAATTACCTTTTTCAAAATCAATTTGATGCATCATAGCAAAATAGCAGAAGGGCACTAAAGATCAACTGAGCTGCTTTTTGACTAACGTTTCAGGGATTGTGAAGCAGCAGATAGACAGCCATATCACAGATCCAGATCAACAGAACAGCGGCCTCTCCTAGAGCGGACCACCACCCGCTCCAGATCCACTGAACGTCCTGATACAAACCTCATGAGGTCGATGCCTTCATTAATGACTGGAAGATCTGCCCCTCCTTCACCTGCCTTATCGAGGTGAAAGATAAATCAATCAGACTAACTTCCCCTTTGCCCCACCAGCACACCATTTTATTTTCCAGCAGCTCAATGGTCTCTTCTATCATCCTTGGCTGATCACTAATAACAATCAACACTAACCTTTTCAGTGTAAGCACACTATTTATATTCAGTGGATATAATAGTGTGTGGCTACCATTGTAATTTGTTTATTGAGTGTCCTGACTGCATTTGTTTTGTGATTTCTCATTTATCAGGAGTCTTGGGTAAATCCCCACATAATGCACCTCATAACTATCATGTTCTTCTCCTACAGAATGAGAAATTGTTTTTGTCCATTAGACATCACTTTTGGAATAATCATCATAATAACAATAAACAAAACTAGATTTTTAGTTTCTTTCTATCAATACTAATATCATGTATTAACCAATATCTTCTTTAGCTGAATTTTTAATTTTCCAGGGTTTTATTTGTAGTTTCATGAGATAATTTCTAATTAAGGGATATCTAATATAAGCCTGAGTAAAAATCTCTTTGGATCAAGGGAGGAAAGTTAGTGTTAAGAGTTTGAAATCTGGTAGAAAGAAATGTAAAGCATTACCTTTTATTTTTCGAGCTGCAGAATTCTCCTTTTGCTTTCATATGGATGGAATACTAATTTACATTAATAATTCCATGGATTTTACTGTAGGATTTTGTGTGCATGTATCTGTGTATGTAAGCATATTACACAAACGTATAAACATCTTTTGCTATTTAGATAATCATTCAACTATCCATATTTTGTCCTACTTTCCTAACCTTTTAATCAGCAGCTAAACCGCTTTTAAAATTACACTATACAGCTATCATATGAACCAAATGTATTGAAAGTATCTAACTCATTCTATTGAAAATGAATATTAATGGTGTATCTTGTAGGTCTCATCCTCGTACTGGGTCTGTCCAAACAAGCCCATCAAGTACTCCAGTGGCAGGACGAAGGGGCCGACAACTCCCACAACTTCCACCAAAGGGAACACTGGAGAGAAGTAAGTTTTATTTCTAATTATGTCATATAGGAAATACACATGGAAGCTAAGGTGAACCAAGATTTTTTTCTACTACCTTTGTGTTAGCTTTCTTCTGTTGTTAATTGAATGCCTTAGCTGCCTTTGCTGGTATTCATATTTATAAATATATTTCTAAATATTACACATTTTGCATTTAAAACTTGTGATATTTGGAGGTAAAATAACCTATTGTTGCTCTTGCACATTTTTCAAATTTGAATAAATACTCTTTAAAAAGTAAACTTAATGCTCTTAAATAAGCAGTTGGATGATATTTCTTTGCTACAACTAAGTTTATGTAATTGTTGATAGTTACATAAAGTTTATTAGTAACTAGACAAATCAATTTTCACACACTGCAAAGGACTGGTTAGCTGATGCACAACAATGGTGATCCTTCTCAAAACTGGAGTACCAGAAAAAGGTAATCATGAATATACAAAGAAAGATGCATGTTGTACTGATATTTTTAATACCTTCAAATTTTTTGCGTAAGAAGCACTATTTGCTTACACACAGATGAACATACTCCCCAAACATTTATAAATTCTTGGATAAAGGACCTGTAAAAGCATGGATGATAGAGTATAATAAGTTTTAATGTCATTTTTTTTAATGGTCCCTTTATTTGGTGACTGGATGTGCTTTACCGGAAACTAACAAACGAACATACTTAAATCACCATTTAACTTTTCTTTAATAGATAATACATTCTGTGCCTTTGGAAATTTCTGTTGTTTTTAACCCCTGTGCTTTGGTTCCCTTTTTTGTTTTGTTTTATTTTGTTTTTCCTAGACAATGGAGTCAAGGAGATAGAACCTTACGAAGGTCTGTACATAAAGGAGGGTTTGTTTTGTGCTGACAGCCTTTTTGGGGGGCTATGTGAGCAAAAATAAACCCAACTGCAATTGATGTCCCTCCAGTGTGTAGACTTTTATATACAGTAAAATTATTTTGTTTTATGGTTCTGGTAAAGTAGTTGACTTTTGTTTTACTTAGAAAATATACAAAAGAGGTTTCTTTGATTCAGTCAAATAAGAATGCAAAGAATTTAACTGACAAGATAAATTTTTCTCTTTTTAAACATTTGCTTTTTGTGCAGAACTCTATGTTTTGGGCAAGACTTTAACCAACGATATCAATTGCAGTCTGTGTTTATGTCATTGAGGATGTACACCTAGTCTAGTTATATTTATCATCATATATTTCATTTTGTATTTATGATGATCTTTTAACTATTAAATTTGGCTTTCTAGAAAAGAAAGTTGTTGAATTAGAAAGTGATTGTGCTTTTTACTTCTGCATCAATTTTCATGTTGTAGCAAGACCGCTTATAGTATATCAGTTACATATGTACAGTTTTATTATCAACACTACATTGTGACTCGAGAAAATACTGAGTCATGATATATGGAGTGTCATAACATTTACCAGGACAATAAAATTTTCTCTGCTGATTATAGACTTCTTTTCGAAACTGACTTTGTAAGTTTAAAGAATTATTGACTGTTTTTATTTACCGATGAATCTCCAGCACATAGAATAATGCCTGGCACATTATAGGCCTTCAGTAAATATTTGTTGAATGAATGCATGAAATATTTATTTTCAAATTGAAAAACTACTTTAAATAGTGTAAAAAAGTACCATTAAAATAATCTTGTCATTCTCTGTATGTTTATAGTAAAATCCGTATTTCTATCACCTATTTGTAACACATGTTTAAGTGCCTTGATTTGGGCAGCAATACTGTTATTGCCTTCAGAACAAGTTGTGTTCATGTTGGTTGTAGTTGAATGGTTTATCAACTCTTATTTTGTGGTCTTTTTATTTACTATGTACTATGATTCTGAGTAACTCAGCACTGTTGTGACTAACGGTCTGTTATGCTGCCCGATAAAAAGACTTCAGCAGCATTTCTACAGTTCTCAGTTATTTACATAAAGATGGGAGTATATAATTTTAAAAGTACTTTCCACAAGGAAAGTTACATAAAACGTATGGAATTTTTGATCTCCTCTCCCCACAATTTTTAACAATAGAGTTTTGACATCATCTGTTGGCATATGAAGTCAGAAACAGTTTACACCATAATTTTTTTTTAAATTAATTTGAATATCTTCTATAGCAGTAGTCTGTCGAGATACGAGTTGCTCCATTCTTTGTAATAGTAAAAATGCCGGAAAACTGACAGAGAGCTAATACTAAAAGTCAGAGTTGAGGAAATTTTTAAGGGGCTTGTCAACAGATGTTCTATTTACCCTATATTTTTTGCCCTACAGAATCTATTAAAACCACAGTTTTCCTTTAATGTTTCCACTGTGACTTTTCCATTTTTACAAATAAAAGGGAAGAGGGTCAAAACTTCTCTTATCCTTTCCAGTGTGAAATAAAAGGGTTTTTTTTGGTTTTTGTTTGCTTTGCTTAAAAGTATGGATGATTTTAGCAGTGCTTTCATAAATGTTGATATGAAGACTCCAGTAAATACATAAGTGTTTCATTTTCTTTAGCTTTAAAGGAGATATATAAGGTGCATAACTCAAAATTGACTATCAGTTAATGGTCTAAGTCAAATTATGTTTGGATTATTTCTTAAAAAGTTGTCAGATGTTGTAATTCAGTGACATTTTAGAATCAAAGTTATAATGTGTTTATCTTCTGATCCTGTTTAAAAGCTGAAAAAATTCCTTTTGATTTGGGATATATTTTAGTCTATTAATTAAATCAATTTAAAACTTTGTATATATTGGTTTTGACAGTGGTACAGTATTAGTCATCTTCTCTTTGAGAATCAAAGAAAATAGGAGCAATATAATGAAAGTACCATGTACTAAACAACTGTAAGGCATTATTATTATTTTTTATTTTTAACTAACTTTGATGTACTGGCATTTTATAAAAATAAAAGCGAGTTTATAATATCATTTTTTGTTTGTCCAGAAGAATAGTTGTATAGTATTATTTTTCTAAGGATATATCAAGTTTGTAGACAAGGTATTTTGCCTTCTTTAAAGTTATTACATATTATAAATATTTATGGGCTATAGTTTCTCTTTTATAAATCAAAGCTATCATAAAAGGAGACAGTGTGATAATTTATTAATAGTACACTATTTGCTTCCACAATATGTTGAAAACATATTAAAAATAATCTAGTCGTCTTTCCTTATAATCACTCCTTATATCATGAATAATTAAAAATTTTTTGTTTTGTTTTACTTAAGAGTAACAAATGTCCACCTCGGATCTTACTTTTTTCTTTACTTTTACTTATGCAATTGCAGAAATTAATGAAGAAACTGGGCATGTGGACGAGCAGGGGGGAGAAAAGCAGGGTGAAGAGGTCAAGGCAGGTCTGTCTGTGTGTCTAAAATAAATAATCGAATGTTTTAGAAATACGACTTTTCTGTTTCATGGAAGACTCTAGGCTTCAAATTTATAAATACACAGTAAAGAATGGATTGTTTTTCGGTACTAATTTTAAAATAATTACTTAATTTTGTTAATGGTGAGAGATTATATAAGCTGTCTAGGAAATTTACCAGAATATTTAACTTACCCATTTGAGCATTCTCCTTACTATGTAAATCAAACTGAAATTATTCAACAATGTCTCTGACCAAGATTTATACTAATCCTTTACCCCAGCTTTACATTCATTTCAGATATTTACTCAAAAATGTTTATTGAAGATCTACTAAAAAGCTATTTTACCACGTGTTACACTGAGTACAGGAACATCAAAGTCCTAGCCTCTTCTCTCAACAATTTTTATTTTTTAGAGGCAAATTACAAGAAAATGTAGAGCAGAATAGAAATTCCCAAAGTTTAATTCTTGACATTTTTAGAAACTATTATAATTTATCCAAAAACTTTTTCTAAGATAACAGTTAACTGTAGGTTCCTCTTCATCCCAGCTCATTATTGCTCTAATATTTATTGACAGTTATAATTTCTCCCCAAAGAGTCCTCCTCCTAAATGGTATGGCTTCTGCAATAAAGTCATTGTTTAGGATATCATTAGTTTGGGGAATTCAGCAGTAGTTACTATCACTTTTATTTATTTTTAACTTCATTAAGATAAAGACACCCATTAATTGAGCCAATTTGTCACCTATGCTTGACTCTCAAAATTAACTTAATTAGTAAATTACATTAGTTCTTAGAATCAAACCATAGCTATAATATTTCTGACTTACTATAAGATGACTTGTTATTCCCCATTTTATTTTTGTTTTTATTACTTTTCTTTTGGATAGGAAGAGTATACTTTACTCTTGTGTTCATTAGTATGAGGTGTTATGTCTGGTGCATGGATTTGCTTCCCTAGCGTGTGATGTTATTTTTTGTGGTGTGCTTGGTTTTTATTCGGGTTGTTAATGACCTTAATTATTAATCACTATTGTCTGTTTTCAATGTTATAAAGACCATGAGGGAGAAACACCAAGCCCACCTAATAATGGAAAAAAAGGCAAGTCTAATATGAAGTTAACAGTGCCTTTCTATACATTAGACACGGTATTGACATTTGTCATGTGCGTGAATATGCTTTCTTAAATAAGTATAAATACAAGTATAGTCTAAATTTAAGTTCTACAACATAAAGTGTCTGCTCTTTTTAAAATGCATTTTTGAATATGGAATTTGTTTATGAAGTACTTACCTTATTTTTGGATCCTGGTACAACCCTATTCTATTGAAATATATAGCATTAAAGTAAAAAGTTTTGCTTTGTTGGTCACATTAAGGAGTACATTCTGAGGAAAATAGTGACAGTCATGTTACCATGCATTTAAAAAATACAGTGTGCCTATTTTTCAGTCCAAAAGTTATTTTAAAATTAAACCATTTAAAAAATATTTTTGAGTAAAAATAAACAGTTATGAGTTCAACAATATTAAACAAACATTTATAGTATTTGTAGATTTTTCATTGTCTAAACAGTTACTGTATTGCCTAGGTAAGTAAAAAGATGATTGATTATAATACTTAGATTTAATTTTCCTTTAATTATTAGTGATTTAATTCCGTAACCCACCACAACGAAGTTACGTCAAAAAAATAGTAGGACTGTTTTTAAAGCCAGCTAAAATGTACATTTACATTGTACATGTAAAATGTTACATTACATAAAATGCCCCGTGTATGCAGTTTGACCCAACTTTTTGTTTCCAAAAGATTAAAGCTCTTTAAAAAAAACAAAAACAAAAACAAAAACCAATAGGACTGTATATGTTTTGCAGTAATTGATAATCAAATGTAGCTACACATGTTGATTTAGAATATCAGCATTTTTATTTTTTTTAATTTTTTAAATTTTTTATTTGTTTTTAGAATGTCAGCATTTTTAAATGGTTACATTGAGAAAAAATCAGCTTGCTAAAATTCTACTGTATCATAACAATTTCCCTTGTTATTGAGCCAAATTAAGAAATGAATAGTATTGTGCTTCAGTGATTTAGTTGAAATGTCCTTTAATCTTAAATATATTCTTTCTTCCCTGTCTTCATCTTTTATAAATAATGTCTATAATGTTACGTGTTAAATTGAATTAGCACTAAAATAATTTCACAGTTTTTCTTACTGTGGAGTGTTAATTACTCATTAATACCCCTCCAAGCATAAAATTCTTAAAATTACAAAGGTTACTGTAAAAAGGTGAAAATAGTATAACAAAATTAATTATATCAAGTATTGTAAAATATTATTATTCTCTATAAAACAACAAAAATTTAAATAAGCCCTCAGTGTGTATTTGCATATTTGTCATTTTTATCTATTTCTTGACATACATGGTTTTTTCTTAGTATTTATGAAAGAATATGTTC